TCACAGTGAAGAAAATCAGTCAGTCAAGTTCATAAGTCAGGTAAGGTTCAATAAACCAGAATGGGGCTCTCCGGTGTATGGCCCGGTGCTGGACACGGACACAGCAGAAGCAGCAATTACTAAAATCAAAACTCAAAACATGTATTAGAAAGAAAAATCAAGATGTTTTATTCATTTTTTTAACAACAGCAACAGATAAGAATACATTTATAAAAACAGGCAGAGACAGTTTTCCATCAGCTGATAAAGAGAAACGATGTCAGGTTCACACAATTCAGTTCAGAAACATCGACAGCAACAAATTAAAAAATCAAGTTTATTATCTGGTGCCTAAGGAGTGAGCCCTGAAATAAGGTTAATTCCTCAGAGAATCCAATGTGAGACCATCAACAGGGTCCAACAGCAGAGCCCACGTCAGACGTGTTAGCCACTGGTGTTAGCGGTCTTCTTTCACCTTATATCAAACCATTTCTCTGCTGTGTGTTAGCGCTGTCGTCCGTCAGGTGACAGAAAAGAGCTGTGACCTAAAAATCATGTGGTTGTTCAAAGAAGTGCAGGAGACGTTAGCTTGTCGGAGAAGCAAACACTGACGTCAGCCTGTTAAATTTGAAATCAATCCGCCCATCGATGGTCCAAACTGTGCTGTGTGAGCGCCCCCTGCAGTCTCACTGTGAGTTAAAAAATTTCTGAGCACAAACTATAAATACTTTTAATTAATTTAACAATAAAATCTATTTTTGTACAGATTTATTTAAAATTTTACACCAAAATAACAAAACAGACTGATTGTGTCTATAAAACAATATACATACGATCTTTACAGTGAGTAATATTATTATATATGATCTCTGGTACAGCACAGAAATAATGAGTCAGTGATATCTGGAACAAAAACTATTACAATAAGGATTCATTTATTGATTAAAACTCTATCTCTCTCAACCAATCAGAAACTAAAAGGCACCATGACGACATGATGGACCCGCCCCCTTTATGACATCACAGAGGAAGTCATCGTGGGGACATGTTGGTGAAATAATGACTGCAGTGATTATTTCTGGAATCAATAACGTGTGTTCAGTTAATAAATAGATGTATTTATCAGCCATTAAAGTGTCTCTTCCTAATCATTCATTCCAGTTGTCTTTGGGGACACCTGCAGGTTACTGCTGGTAACTGCAGGCGTATGGAAGTCATTAATATAATCCTCAGGTGACACTTCCTGTGGCAGCTTCACAATAAAAGCCTTAGTTTTAATGTAAAGCAGTAGGACATGTTGAGCATTAGCAGGAACTAACATTTCCTGTGAATCCAGTGTGGGAACGGCGGACTACACCACTAACAATGAATATTACTATAAATAATTCAGTTCTGTTCACATGTTTCTGTTCCCAGCTGCATTATGGGAAATGTAGGATGCAGTGTCTTCTCCACCTCTTACAACAACTACAGAAATCATTAATTGGGAGAAATGAGGATCAGTGATTGTGAAACCTTTAATCAATAAAAGATCCTCTGAGAGACGATCAAAGATCCCTGATTGGCTCCAGCACACGTCCATCACCTACCTGCCCCCCCCCC